AGCACTCAACCGCTGCGCCACCGGGGAGGCCCCTGTTTTCATAACTTTTTAAAGAGTATTGCTCAGCTTGCCAGCTGGTCCTCAGTTTGGGTAGACATGGTGTTTTCACGAGATTGGACTAAAGCGATGGGTTTTGGGCAAGAATGCCAGAGGAGCGGGGTGTCCTGTGTGCACCTGCCCACAGGCTTCACGGGGTGATGCTCCCAGTGCTGGTCATGCCACTTCCCGTCCCCTTGGTTCTGCACTGCTCAGCCCACTTGAGGGGGATCGTGGAGACTGTGCAAATTGTGCTTCTCTGCCAAGCTTTTAGCCACTGATTTTAGCACCTCCCAGTTATTATTGTGGTGCTTGCCAGGGGTGGCTTTCTAGCTCCCTCTTTTATGCTTATTAATTAAAACTGCATCACAGGAGAGAGCGCTCCCTTTTCCCTATCAGTTTTTTTAAGTGGTGTTTGTATCAGATTAAACTCATGGATATTTATGTTCCATTGGTTATAATTCAATAGTAACATTTCTTAGGTTGCTCAGATTGCTTCAGCTTTGGTCAGCAGGAGTGGCTTCAGGTTCGCCCTGTGTTCTTTCAGAGAGTGTCTCTGCTTTTTTGAGCACATTTATTTTTCTGGCTCCCGAAGATGTTCAAGGATCACCCTAGCCTTAGAATTAAGTGTTCTCCAGGCACACTGGTTACTGCTGCGGGTTAGAAGGAATGGCCGTGCGCCTAGTTCCACTCAGTAGGCAGAGCTGGGACTCTCCCTGACCAATATCACTCTCTCATCCTGACACATTTGGTGCCCGTCTGTGATGCCAAGATTCATTTCCTCCTCCTTTATTTGTAATTTCTTTCTTCAGTAGTGAAATACTGCCTTTTTATTGTTTGAAATACTTTTACAATTACTTATTTTGCTCTGTTCAAGAATACATGTATCTTAGTTTCAGATTTTGTAATCTATGTTCCTGTACTGAAACACATTCACTAAATGATTTCCTTACTCTTACGTCCGTAAGACACTGTTTTCTAAAGTTGCTTAGGTTAGTTCTGCTCTTTCATCCCTACTTAAGTGTCTAGAAGTTGTGTGGTTTGTTTGTGATATCGTTACATTGACTTGTTAACACTTGTGTTTCACGTTGGTTCCTCTTGGTTGGTTTGGGCCTTACCCTTGGGTGCGGGAGAGCGTGGCTGCGGCTGTGACTTCCTGTTCCCCACTTTTTTCCCCTCACTTAGATTATCCTTCTTGAATTTCTCTTCACAAGTGAGCGGATCCATGTCTTTTTTCTTATAACCTCGTCTGTCTTAATATGAAGGCTGGCGCACTGCAAATAACACTTATGTTTGCTAAGTGAGAAACACTTAGTGTATGTTTGGAAATCGCTCCCTCTTAGTCCACAGAGCTCTTCTCTACCTCTTCTCCCTGCAGCTGCCAGCACTCCACTGTGGGGTTCCTTTGTTCCTTCAGCAGCCTATGCCCTTCAGCACTGAGATTGGACCCGGGATGTCTTTGTGATGAATGATCCTGTAATATTCTCATGCCTAGATGTTTCCTTATTGCTGGATGTGAGTCCAGGATGGATTCATTGGAGAGAGTTTGTTGGCTTAAAAAGGTTTATGTGAATGTTTGTTCCCTTCAGAAAGTACTAACCCGTTTGCATGCTCTCCAGCATGCAGGGTTTTCTGTTTCACCAACAGAATGTGCTGTCTGGTTTTTAAAAAGCTTGCCAGTCCGGTATGTGGAAAACGGTATCTTCCTTAGTGTATTATTTTATTTGGCTAACAATGAAGGAGTTTGAGTACTTTTTCAAATGTTTGAAGGATATTTTTGTCTCATTTCTGTGAATTGTCTATTTGAGTCTTTCCTGTTGGTTTTTTTTTGGCATTTTGGTTCTAACTTTTCAAAAGTTTTTTTTTAGATGCTTATTGTATATGCTACAAATATTTTTCTACAACTTCTGTGAGTTGAACTATGCTGAGCTTATATCAAGTTTAATCAGTCTTTTTCTTTTATTCCCTATTGATCTGAATCCTACATAGAAAGCCTTTTACTTAAGAGGTATTGACTCGGATGTCTCAGCATCATTTCTTAAAAAGCCTGTCTTCACAGTTGGTGGTCTGAGATGCTACCCTTGTCATATATTATTTTCCATAGTGTGTTCTGGACTTGTCGTTGTATTTTCTGTTGTCTAATTATGTGCCTGCACCACATTTTTAATTATGTATGTTTTAATGTCTGATGGTGCTGCTTTCCTGCCCTTTTGGTTGTTTTTCATGTGAATCTTAGTATTAACTTGCTTTGTTCCATAAAATAGCTGGTCGATATTTGCATTGAATTCAGTTACATTGAATTTATAGATTAAGCTGTGGAGAAATGCCAGTTTGAGTTTTCCTATCCAAGTGCAGGGAGTATTTTTCATTTGTTTATGTTCACTTTTGAGTCTTTTGGGAGTGTTCAAAGATTTTCTTCATATAGATTTTTCCTTTCTTATTACATTTATTCCTAAGCATTTAATCTTACGGGCAGATATTGAACTCTGTGTCTTAATAATAGAGAATACATGTCCTTCTTATGTACCTTGGTATCTTCTCAAAAATCAGTTCTCAAAAATTAATCCTTAGATAACAACAAAAACATCTGATTAACATGCAGTAAAACTAAGAGTTTACCAACAAAAACAAAGAAGAGAAAAGCTTTTTTCTCTGGAAATTTAAAACTTACCTATTATACAACTGTTCAAAGGGGAGCTACAGATGGAAATTAAAGAAATTTCTTGGGCCTCCCTGGTGGTGCAAGGGGTTAAGCATAGCACTGTGAAGCTATCTGCAGCCTCTGCAGCAAGAGTTCGATTCCTGGAGCTACCCGCATGGCACAGCAGACCTCTCCTCTCTCCCTGCTGCTCCCCTCAGCAGTGTTATTTCAGTCATTCTGCCTGTTCTGCTCCCCATTCTATCTCTGGTGAATCCTCTCACCCTCTGCACCTTTGGCCTGCACCCCAGTTCTTATATAAATAATTTTTTTAAAAAATGGACAGTGATGGAAATAACTTTTTTTTTTTTAAGATTTATTTATTTATGCATACAAGAACTGGGGTATAGGCCAAAGGTGCAGGGGGTGAGAGGATTCACCAGAGACAGAGTGGGGAGCAGAACAGGAAGATCTACTGAAATACACTGCTGAGGGGAGCAGTGGACGAGTCAGGAGAGGTCTGCTGAGCCATGTGGGTCTCCTCCCTGGCTGGGGATCAAACTCGTGCTATAGTGGCTGCTGATAGCTTCATAGGTTGCATCTTAACCCCTTGCACCACCAGGGAGGCCCCGGAAATAACTTATTTTATATATCACTGAATAAAATACAAAATTTCCATTTAATCTTAATTTTTATGAGATATGTATTTTTAGGTATTTTTATCCCTATTTAACTGCTAAGGAATTTATCTTTTTCTAGGTTGCAGGTACTAAATCACTGCAGAGACGAATAGTTGGCTGCAGTCAATGCTTTGTTCACCTGTAAAAGTCATCTTATCTGCTTCTTATGGTCTAGAAGCTCCTTTTAGCTCCAGTTAAATGCTCGAAGGATGGGTTGATAGGGACCTGGAAAGTTGATACTACTCCTTAATTTCCTGTCATTGGATCTCCTTCCACCTCTAAGTCAGTGCTTCCAATAGAACATTTTGCCATGATGGAAATGTTGTTTAAATCCGTGCCATTCCATATGGGAGTCACATGTGGCTATTTAAATTTGCATTAATTAGGATTAAGTTAAAAAAATAAAAATTCAGTTCTTTGCAGTTTGTATGAGACCCATTTCAAGTGCTCGATATCTGTGCATTACATTGGGAAGCAGAACTTCCTAAAGGAATTTTAATAAATAAGCAACATTTTAAAATAAGTTTAGAGGTGGCGATTAAGCCCTTCTTAGCTTCTGTTACTAAGACTTCGGTCACATCTGCTTGAACCCTTGAGGGAAAGGAGGGCATGGCTTTTACATTTCTGGGTGGGAAGGAAATGAATGTTCAGCCCCATGTGGGCAGCCCACAGCCATCTTCTTTCACTGACACCATGGCCTGTAGCTGGTGTGTGTTGTCAACCTGCAGACTCACGGCAGCGATGCTGAGCATGGACTGTCTGCACAGGTGGTGGGGCCACGGCCTGGGAGCGTCCAGGACGCGCTGTTGCCCCTCCAGCTCCCTCTAGTCTTAAATGTAGCCTTAGCTTCCCCATGAGAAAAAAGTTTCCCTCTGTGATCACTCATGGAATTGGAGTTCTTAAAATTGTCTTGCCTCCTTGGAAACCCTGGGAAAATGGGGTGGGGGGGCACGGTATAATGGTTCTGACATCGATATTCTAAACATGAAGCGACGCTGCGTAAGGAATTCTGTAGCACTGGAGCATTTCCAGCCACACTGAGGTTTCACGCATTGGTAGATGAGCCTGGAAGCCTCACTGCTCTACCGTGCGATGGTACCAGGGGAGAGTGTTTTTTTACTGTTCCTGGAAACTGGGAAAATGTGTGTAGATTCGAGCTCATCGTGTACATTTGAAAAGCTAACATTTTTCTAGGTCTTAATTTCCAAGTCAGTTTATTTTCTTGCACATTAAAAGAGAAGAAAAATATTTTAATATTTAGACATTCTGCCTGTCACAATGTAGCAGGAAGACAAGGCCTGTTATTTCTAATTTGTTTAACATCTTTTCATCGTAATTCTGGTTTCATTTTATTTTTGTGGTTCAGTTAATTTTGCTTTATGACTGAAATGCTCAGATCAAAGCAATTATGTTGCGAAGTTATAGGTTGAAAGTGTCATGAAACAAAAAATTTAATTTTGCACATTTTCTTCTTCTGTGCACTCCCAGCTTCCTGAATAGGCAGTGGTGGCTCCTGGGCCATCGTCTGTGAATTCTGACAGTGACACTGCTTAATTGTCCCCCTCCCTGCCTCTCCAGTGGGGTTTTGGTTTGCAAGGCAACTGGGAGTATTACTAATATATGCTTATGTATTTGTTTATTTTCAGAGGGAAGTGTAACATCTCCCATTTTTCTGACATATTTGCTGCTAGAGAATTTAAAGCACGAGTGGATTCATTTTTCTACATTTTAGGCTACAACCCTGAGACAAGGTAAGTGAGTCCTGTGGGCCGCCTCAGGGAGCGCGTCAGCTGTTTGTGTGCCTGTGCGTACACCGGGGCACTTTCTAGTAAGGTTTTAAAAAGACTCTTAAACCCGATATATACTAAACCTCTTTGAAGAAGTTGTAGTTGCTGTATAAATAGATATTTACACACACACACACCCCACCCACCCACCCACCACCCACCACACCCCCCCCCACCCCCCATTTTGGTATTTGCAACAACTTAATGTTTGCTTTCTTGTTAAGGAAACACTGCATTTAAAGAAGGCAAGATAAAGACATACCTTTAGTTCCTCTGTGTTTGGAATTTGTGAATTGATGGTTTATTACCTAAGTGTGTGGCCTGTTGAGCATCTTACAGATCGAAAGACTAGGCTATTATGGGAAGCCTTGGGTCAGTCATTTGTTTCATTCATTCAGTAGCGTGCCCCAGGCAAGGTCCCTGCTGTGAGGCGCACGGTCCAGTTCCCAGCCGTCTGGGTCAGGCCCGTGTACCTGAGTAGCTGTGGAGGGAAAAGCAGGCTGGAGTCGAGATAGTTTATTTAACGGGATTTTTTTTTTTTTTTGTTTCTGTCTGTAATAGGCCTGAGTTTAACTTAGCACGTGGAAGAACTCCTGTTAGATATACGCATTCATGTTTATCCTGTATCAGTTAATTGCATTACATCTTTTGTTAATGATTAAAAAGAATGTTAGAAGGTGATCAAGTAATCTGTGCTCTGGACTCCTGGCAAACAATCTACTAATAAAAGAATTCAGAAAGAAAGAAAAGCTGCTTGCTTGTGGAAGTTAGTGGAAGAACTGCCTTACGTGTAACTGCAAGATGACTGTGTTAGTGCAGCCTTTTGCTGGAGGATGCTGAGAAGCGGGATGTGAAATTTAGATATTTGCCCTACAACGACAAATTGGCCAACAATGACATTTTCCTCATTGCAGTTAACAGCCTAAAGCTCTGTTGGGGCATCCATATTAATGTCTCTGTAAATATACGAGCAACAGCTGTCAGGATAATAATGGAATGTCATCTTGTTTGCTTGCGTCTAAGAGCACTTTTTTTTTCCTTTATAAAACAGTGAAACTGAGCTTTTATTTTCTTTTCCCAAGGTATGGTCTTCCAAAAAAAAAGAAGCTGGTCATTGGCAATAATTCAGAAACACCTTATTTTTGGAAATGTTTATTTTACTTATGAATTTATTGACTGCCTTGTATTTTCTGGTTGCCCAGAACACTTAAACTTGAATATGCGTCTAGGTACATAGGAGTCTCTTATTTCAAAGATGCCGTGTGTGTAACTATTTGATAAATGGCTATCAGATTGCTCAGAGTAGATTGTATTACTGAATCGACTACCTGGCTTTGTGCTTTAAGTGTTCTGCTTTCAAAGTTATCAAAAAACAGCCAAATTTACCTTTTACTGTTTTTGTCTATCCATCTGTTTTTGCTGAGGGCCCCTTAAAAGTTGTATGTAGCTGTAGGGGCAGGACAGGGACACTGAGCAGGTTTTCTATGATCCAGTGCAGACCAGGGTAAAGGAGGAGAGAGTCCTGGAGCCCTCAGTGGCTTTTGCAGGCTTCTGTTGGGATTCACCAGGTACATGGCAGGCAGGGGTGCTGGGGGCTGGGAGGCTGGCAGGCCACCCAGTCCCCAGCAAGTCTTCACTCTATCTGGGCTCTCCGGCCTTCTCTCGCGTTCTCTTCTGCTTCTCTGCTCTCCTGCTTCCCTTCTCAGCTTCTCTGCTCCTTCTTTCTCAGCTTCTACTGGCGTCCCCGCGGCGCCGCCCTTAAAAGCCCAGTCTTAGCCCAGGTGTACCCACTCCAGGTGCCCGCCATCAGGCATGCATTCAGGACCACAGGTTTCCCTCATCTATCCTAATGGCGGGAGGGCAGAAAGCCTGATACTTTTTACCTTACCCTACAGTAGCTTTTACATGTTCTGTGCAGTCTAGATGCGCAAGAAGTTCCTGCCTCACTTTCCTTCTGCGGGCAGTCATCAGACTGATGCGCCTCGTCGGTCTTGTTTGAAAATGTGGAATATGTGGTAGAAAGAGATTGTTTGTCTCTCACCTGAATAAGCCGCACACAGATGTGTGCCCACACAGCGTGACGGACTCTGCAATGCCAGTTGCTTGTCTTAGTTTTTCTTCTTTCGCGTCACCCCGTTTATTTCTGCACTTGTGGTCTCCGCCCAGCCCATGATGGTGGCTGGTAAGTGTTGGCGAGGCATTGGACGAGAAGGTGTGAAAGTCTACTTAGAAAGTTTGTGGCAGACTCAGTTTGTCACAGTTAGGATGGAGAGACCCTGGGGCCAATTTGCAGCAGGGAAGCTGGTGTTTCCTGCTGACCTGGCCCACAGGTTTCCCCAGCACCTCATCGCCTCTCTGAGGTTGGGGCTCGCATGTGGCATTCTCAGAGCTGTGCAGACGATGGAGAGAGAAGCGTGCGTGATTCAGCGGAGCCCAGAAAGCTTCCTGGGTCTCTTCCACTTGGCTGAGGCATGGCCTTCTGCGGGGTGCTCAGGGTGCACAGCCTCCAGGTGTCGCTGTCTCTGCCTTCACTTCAGGTTAGGGAGGGGTGGGTGGGTGCTGACTGGCTGCTGCACCTGCACCTGCTTGAGGGCATTGATGGGTCTTGCCTGAGCCATGTACTGATGCTCAGTGCCCAAGGGCTTCCCGACGGAAGTGCCAGCCTGCTCCACGGTTCTGTGGTCAGTGCCCGTATCTGAGGCCACTGGAAGTCAAGGAGTGCAGATTCTGTGTCCCCTCCCCTTAGATAATATAAGCACTTCACTCCAAGTAATATTTGAAACTGAAGTTTTACGATGGACTTATTTCTCTGAGCAAAATTTCTGCTAGTAGGTAAAAATTGATTTATGTAATTGTCCATAATTTATTTAGCATGTTAACCAGCACTGAAATTTTGTTCACACTAATTGCAAACATTCTTTTTTTTTTAATATTCAGTAATTTTTTTTTTTAAAGATTTATTTATTTATTTATACAAGCACTGGGTACAGTCAGAAGCGTGGGAGGGTGAGAGGATTCACCAGAGCCAGAGCGGGGAGCAGAGCAGGCAGAAGGACCGAAGTACACTGCTGAGGGGAGCAGCAGGCGGCAGGAGAGGTCTGCGCGTCAGGTGGGACCTCCTCAGGTGGCCGGGGAGCAGCCGGGGAATGAACTGGCGCTGCAGAGGCTGCGAGCAGCCTCGCAACCCAGCGCTCAACCGCTGCGCAACTGGGGAGGCCCGCAAACATTCTTTTTAACCTCAGCTCCCTTTTGATTTTCCCTCAACCTAACCTGGTCATGTCATATTTCTGCGTATTGTCCTGTCAGCATCCTGGTTGTCCAGGACTGCTAGGTGTCTGTGGTGTTACTTTATTAAACACGTATGTGATAGTGGAACATGGACTATTCTGTATTCTCTCTCCTGCTCTCGCTTTGCCTTTAACACTTGGAGAAGGTGGATTTTTTTTTTTTTTATATAGAGGCATGTTTTTGTTTGTTTGTTTGTTTGTTTGTTTGTTTTTGTTTATACACCACTGGGTACAGTCAGAAGCACGGGAGGGTGAGAGGATTCACCAGAGCGGGGAGCAGAGCAGGCAGACTGATGAAGTACACTGCTGAGGGGAGCAGCGGGCGGCAGGAGAGGTCTGCGCGCCATGTGGGACCCTCCTCCTGTGGCCGGGGAGCAGCAGGGGATCGAACCGGCGCAGCAGAGGCTGCGGGCAGCTTTGCAACCCAGCGCTCAACCACTGCGCCACCGGGGAGGCCCAGAAGGTGGATTTTTTGGTAAATGTCACGGAGTAACTTTGGCATTATTAATTACAATGTGTATCTCATTCACTTTTTTTACCCACAGTATAGCCATTAACACTAATAAAGCATTTACAGTAATACAGATCCATAATTTCTTTAGTTTTGAAATCTAAAAGCTCTACATTCAAGCAAAATTTACACTGTTTGGTGTTGAAACTCATTTGGTAGTCAGATCTGATGTGAGGCTATTTATAGTCTTAATTTAGTTCACTTTGTATGAATTTGCATACCCTTTTCTGCAAAACTGCTAATATGATAGAATTGACTATCCTGTTACTCAGACATCACTGGTAATACATACACTCTGATCTGTTCATTATAATAACCTAGACCCCAAAAGCTCTGAATTCTGAAAAACCTTTGACCCTAAGGATCCTAGAGAAGGGATTGTGAGTCAGCATCCTTGCTACACATGACATTTACAGAACAAAATTTAATGGGGCAAAAAATTTTGGGACAGATGTTTCTAGCTTTCAGGTGGGATACATGCCACTGGGGGCTGACAAATGAGAGAGGCTGGACTTTAATGCCAGCTCAACTTTGAACCTTTAGGTAATTGGACTTTGATTTTGCAGTTTGTTGTGACATTTCTGAACTCAGGTTATGTTCACTTTTGCTGTATGAACAGAATCATACAAAATTTCCTTCTGCAGTCAGCATCCTTACTCAGTGTCATGATGTACTCATGTTGTTTGAAGAATTTGATTCAAAGTCTGGTCAGAAAGTTAACAAAGTAAGTTTCAGTTCCGAGACCTCACTGTGCACAAAGACCTTAGTTAACCACATTATAGAGAGCAAGTGTCCTTGTGGCACTGTGGTGGCTTGGTCTGCTCTTGGAAGGGCAGCGAGCACAGGGGCTTCCCTTTTACTGTGGGCGCCCCCTCCCCCCTTTTCCATTTAATCTGACTGCTCATTTCTTTTCCCAGGGGCTGCAGCCTGGGGAGAACTTCCCCCTTGGGTCCAGCAGCCTGGATTCTGGTCTTGTGCTGCCACTACCTTTGGGTCCATGATTAAAACTTAAACTTCTGGGGCCTCCCCGGTGGCGCAGCGGTTGAGCGCTGGGTTGCAAAGCTGCCCGCAGCCTCTGCTGCGCCGGTTCGATCCCCAGCTGCTCCCCGGTCACCGGAGGAGGGTCCCACATGGCGCGCAGACCTCTCCCGCCGCTCGCTGCTCCC